TTTTTTAAACTTAGTTTAAGATGGTATTTAACACCGGTAAAATTAAACAAAATCAACACCAGTCATCCGAATGTCTGTTGGAAATGTGAGAAAGAAGTTGGTACATACTTTCATATGTGGTGGGAATGTGAAAAGGTACAAAGTTTCTGGAGACAAATTTTTAAAGAATTAAGTTGTATCTGTGGAAAAGATATAGAATGTAAGGCTGAGATTGCTTTGTTATCAATATATGAGAATGTGGAATATGACAAAATGATTAAAGAATTGATAACTAATCTAATAACAGCAGCTAGATTGATTATTGCTAGACAGTGGAAATTAAAGACTGAATTACAAATTGAAGAATGGTATAAAGAAATATGGAATATAGCATTAAATGATAAATTAACTTGTAATTTAAAGATGAAGAAAGGAGAGTTGAAAAAGAATAATTTTTATGTAATATGGGGCAAATTTTTGGAATATGTGTTAATAAGGGGAAAAGGGAGAGCTCCAAATCAAGAATCTATGCAGTTCTGGAGAGGAGGACAATAGAAGAAGAAGAATGAGAAGAAGAAGAAAAAGAAGAATATGGCAAGAGGTCCCGTATATGGTGGTGGGGAACACTGTTATTGTATTGTAAGTGTATATGTTTTATGTATATGATTTTTTTGTTATAATTATAAATAAATAAAAAAATATATTTAAAAAAAAAAGAGAAGAAAAGGGATTAATTATAGTAATGACATTGGCAAGGTTAATATTTGCAAAAAAATGGAGAAGTAATAATCAAATTACTGTGGAGGAGTGGTATAGTATAGAAAATGTGGAATATGGAAATTAGTGATAAACTAATTTGTGAAATTAAGATTAGAAGATGAAATGTAATAATCTTAAACAAATATGGAACTTGTCTTTGGTACATGTGTTTCAGGAAGGGAAGGGCTATACACCAGGAGAAGAATCAATACATTACTGGAGAAAAATTGGGAAATTTGAATTATAAGAATGAAGAACATGCAACTAATCCCAAGTGGGGGGTGGGTTGCACAGAGTGGCGAATAGGGGTTGGTCATGGATATATGATAGTGATCTGTAAAATGGTAAAAAAAAATATACTTTCTTTATTTTCTCTTCCATGAAATATATATTAAAACATTAAAAAGGAAGACCAACGCCACCTTTGTCACAGGTTGTAGAATTTAAAAATTTCTCAGGTTATTTTAAAGAGAAACTAAACAGTTTTACCAGGTAAGAGAATTATGAAGATTAAACAATGGACAAAAGAAATGCAATATAGGGAACATAGAAGAGAACTACTGGGAGAGGAGATTTAATGGTTGAACATACTTCAGTTAGAAAAACAGATGAAAGAATGGAAAACAAAAGAAGGAGAGGTGTTTCATTTAAGTTAAGGCTCTCTTCTAAAGCTATTTCATGGTATGGCAAATTCAGAGAGGAAGGGTCACTTTGGTTAATTTCCAGCAATTGCATGTGTAGAAACAAATCAAAACAGAAATACTACTAACATCCAAAAAATAGAAGCAAGCCCTTGAGATGGGCCAGAAATGTGTGAGTCGGACTGCTCTGGGGGTGGGCTGGTTCACTCAGAAAAATAATGACAAAATTTTAGAGATTATAGAAAAAGGAAAAAGCAGAGATAAGGGAAATAGAAAGGGAACAATAAGCGCAGTATACAAAATGTTAATGCAGGCAGAATATTTTTTTAAGTGTTAAAAGATTTATGGCAAGAAGACTTGAATTAAAAAAATTTAAAAATTGGAGTAAATACCCTGTTTCCCCGAAAATAAGAACTGCTCTGGGGGTGGGCTGGTTCACTCCAGCAGACATGTCTGATTGCCAGCTTTAGCAGGAAACCAGCCCATCCCTGCAGCCGACCAAGCAGAGTGCTAAATGTCATGTATTTGTCCTCTAACACATTTATTGCAGCATATACTGTGCCACACCAAACCATACTTTGTAGGATGTTTGTTATGGCATCCTGAACTGGACAGACAGACGCAAACATGCATGCTCAAGGTAGCCATTTATTTTTATTTATTTATTTTATTACCCTGTTTCACCGAAAATAAGCCCTAGTATGAATTTTCAGGATGCTCATAATATAAGCCCTACCCCCAAAACAAGCCCTAGTTAAGTGAAACCCCGCCCTCCACCATTGTGCAGCAACTAGAAGATGACATGACTATAAAATAAAACATCCCCTGAAAATAAGCCCTAATGCGTTTTTTGGGGGCAAAAATTAATATAAGACTCTGTCTTATTTTCAGGGAAACACAGTAGACTTCTACCCCACCCATCTAGACCAAAGGTCTACTTAGCCATAAGTTTATTGTGGGCCAACCCGGCATTTCATGCATCTGTTGAAGATCTCTGGTGTACAAAAGTTTGTGCCATAACAGATGTGCTAGTCTTTCTATGCTATTATACTCTTTCTTGTTTTTATTGCTGCAAATCAACAGCCATACCACTGAAAAATCTTTACTAGAGTGCAGTCCTTTGGTTTGGTTTAAAGCGGCTTACACCCACATAAGGCTGCAGCCTAGGGCTCTTACATAGCAGCCCAACCTTTCACTGTTGACAAAATATTTATCCATCAAACCTTTCTTCTTTCTCTTTTTGCCTTCTTGGTGTTTAAAAGCCTAAATTACTTATGTCCTTCTTTCATTGGTAAAGTTAGTAAAGCACTTTCTTCTTCTAAGCTCCCATCCTTTTCGAGTTTCTGCTTCTTTTCAGTCATTTTGCTGGCAACTGAAGAAATCAGTGCATAAATGAATGTATGATTCCTAAAAAAAATGATGACATTTTACCCCAGAAGCATATAAATTGATTTTTTTTCATGCATTTTCTTCTCTGCTTTTGAATTGCATCACATGGATGTAAAGGATGTAGAAGTGGCTGTTTTTGATCAAATGTCCATGTTATTTAATAATTCATGTTTCAATAATGAGAATTACTAACCATGAATAATTAATGTTTAACTCTCAGAAGAATCAGTGCCTTTCATCTAGGAATACATTAATTAATTCTGCTCATTAATCCCTTCATCTTTCTTCATATATTATTGTTCAGTGATTCCACCTTACGTTTTCAATGATTCACTAATTAATCATAGAAGACTTCATTTGCTCATCTACATTACCCAGTTAATTAATTGTTGTTAATCATTATCTTTTTAAAAAGAATATGTGAGCTACTGCCAGCAGAGCAGTGTAATGCAGTTACCACAGTAATGTTGGGGCCACAGTTTCAAATCACCGTGTGACTTTTGGCCAGTCACTCCGTCAGCCTAACCTATCCCATAAGGTTGTTTTGGGAAAAAAAGAAGGCAGCAGTGGGGGGCAGCGGTTATCCACAACACTGTCTTGACTTCCTTGAAGAAAAGGCAGGATATGAATGATAGTAGACAACCACTGTGTGTTGTAAGATGCCCCATGTATAAGATGCCCCCCACTTTTCTAACCCAAAATTAAGAAATCTAAGTGGGGCTTAGCAAGTGGAGGGGAAAGTAGGGATCAAAGCCCTGCAGGATCACTTTGATCCCTGCTTTCCCCTCCACTTGTTTTTGTTCTCTCCTCAGCTTACTTCTGTGCATAATATGGCCCTCAATTTTTAGTCTAAAGATTTTAGACAAAAGTAGTCTTATACACTGACAAATACGGTAGATGCCCAAGGTGACTGGATGTAACCAGAAACATTTTGCATGAAGTAGCCTGTATGGTGCAGTGGGTAGAGTGGCAGACTAGAACTCGGAAAACCTGGATTCAAATCCCGGCTTAGCCATGGAAACTCAGCAGTTGGGGACAGGGTTGTAGAACTGGTAAAGCCCTTCATTGAATGTGTCACCTTGAAAGCCTTTTAAGGGCCATTGTTAGTTGGCTCCGATTTGATGGTAGTGATGCACACATTGGTGGTGTGGGTTGAAATGTATTTGCCCTTTTTAGAATATCTTTTAAGAATTGAATTAATCCTTTTTAAGAAGTGCCAGAAATACCTCCACTATTGTCTTTCTTACGGACCATTGAAGCAACAGGTGACAGTAAGCAAGGTCAGCTTTATCATTATGAAAATTAGGGAAGCCACCTTTTAAGTGGCATAAAACGCAGCACATTTTAATTACTTATTTGAAAAGGGCGATGTTTTATCAGGGAAGAAGCACTTGGGGGATGGATTCGTGGATTGATTGCCTTAAGTGTCAAACCTTGAGACCCTGACTTATGGTAAGGAGACATTTTGCTGCCCTGTCGAACCAAGAAGAGCCTCTCGCAGACAGTCACTCCTGACCACAGCGTGCAACTTCTGGCGCCACACCACCAGCGGACAGAGAGCGAGAGAAGCGCGTGAAATGTTTCCCGCCCTCCATACTTCCGGGGTCCGGAATCACCCGCTTCCGCTTCCGGTTTCCTTGTTGATCATGGCGGCCTTGAGGAGGCTGGCGAGCCGGCAGAGGTTGCTGGGGTTATCGCGGCTCGGGGTCCGCGCGGTGTCCTCGGGGGGCAAAGCGAGCTCCTCGGGCTCCGTGTCCGTGTACCCGAGCCCCGTCGTGCGCCGCTTCGAGCAGGAGGAGAGCGGGACGGAGGAGTTCATCAAGGTGAGAGGAGGAGCCTGGGCGGGGGCGCTTGGCTGGAGGAGGTCGGGGAAGGGCTTCGGAGGCAAGCGTTGGGAGAGTGGCTGAAGGGGCGGCGAGTGAACGCGGCAGACGGAGGGTGCCTCTCCCCCCACTCCCCGGGACTGAAAATGCAGCTTTCCTGAACAACGAAAGCTATTACCTCCCACAGTAGCGCTCTCTCTCTCTCTCTCTCTCTCCAAGCGAGCCCAACTTGCGAAGGCCTATTACCTCCCACAGTAGCGCTCGTGTGTGTGTGTGTGTGTGTGTGAGAGAGAGAGAGAGTGAGAGTGAGTGAGAGTGAGTGAGTGATGTTGCTGTTGGGTACTTTCTGTTGCGGACCCACATACACACTTAGGTTTTCAGGTGAGCTTTGGGGGAGTAAGTCTGAGGAACTGGACATGATCTAGGAAAGCTCACATTTGAAAAAGTAACAGACCGTAAATGGCTGCAACGTTTTTGTCTGTCTTAAAATGGATCTGACTTAAATCAGATGGGTTTAAATCACTGCAGAGTGGGTGAAAATCAAGAATTTGTTTAAGTTTAAAATAATTTTTTAAAATCCTGTGTAAATCAAAAAAAATCAATTAAAATCATTGATTTTTATTCTCCCTACAGTGATTTAAATTGTGAATTAAATCTGTTTTTTTTTTAATCCTGTCAGAGCTCCCAGGGCATTCCTCCTCTTTCCTAAGCGATATTTGCATGGTCTACATAGGGCAGGAGTTCAGAGAGTCCAGAAGCTGGTCTTCTGCCCCAGCTGTTGAAAGGTGATACAGACTGCCACAAGGGCCAAAAAACTAGAAGTGGCTGAAAATCCTCTTCTAGTTTTGAAATATGAGTAGTTTTAGCTACTAAACAATACAGGGAGCTGTGTGACATATTTAGGTGATTCTTCACTTCTGCAAACTTCCAGGAGTGGTACTTCACTTTTTTTAAAAAGGGGGAAAGAAGACTGGAGGAAAACTGGGAGCAATATGCAACCCCAGTGTCACATTTTGTCACTCCTGGTATGTGGGGTTAATACTTAATGAGGTTTCCTCTTTCCACTGCAGGAGAAATATACCAGGTGCATTCAACATTGTACTTAGATTTTTAGACTCTGATAATCACTGAGGTATTAGACTGTTGTTATTGGTAATAGACTGCAAGGTTGATTATAACATCTGTAGACAGGACAAGTTCGCAGAATTAAAAGGAATCTTCAGGATCACGTGATCCTATTCCTGGTTTAGTAAAGGCTGCCACAACAATAAGCAAAGAGAATCTCTCGAAATTTGTAATTATTCAGCATTCTTGGAGTTCCTCAGTCATTTCCATGGCAGCCAAAGAGAACACCTTAGACACTAGTGTATGTTTATTGCCTGATATTATGTTGTGCCTCCATGTTTCAAGTGTTCTGTTCTCTGACAGCAGAACTATCAAATCAGGATTGAAGTTTTGTCTTTGTTGGAAATGTGTTAAAAGTCTTGCTCAATTTCTGTAGGACAAAATTCCCAGGCCTTGCAAGGTTCTTCTTGTGGAAGCAAATTTACAAGAGAGGCTTACTTCTAAGTAAGCATGGAGAGAATTGCACTGTAAACCTCTTTGGAAAATAAACTTGAGGCTTGTTCCTCAAGTCTGAGCAACAAACAAACATAACTTATAAGAAAAATTTAATGTTTTCATTAGATATTATTACCAATCTAAGGATATCTTTGCTATGTTATAGTCTGTATAAATAGAGAGTCTTTCCTGTAGCAGGCTCTAAGTAAGCAATGTGATTTCCACTACCAAAAACCTGTCTCTTCATAAATATATTTTGAAGACAATTTTAGAGGATTCCTTGCCAGTTCCTCTTTTTCTACAACTCTCACCCCTTCCTTAAAAGAAGTATTACAGCTTTATTATATTATTCTTACATCTAATGCCTTGGGTGATCAGGAAATATCATAGGTTAGGTTTCAACAATCCCTATTTTAAAATAAAGATCACTATGATATCTAACAGAATAAGGATTGCTATAATATATCAGATGTTGCCTACGAAGCACTATGAGTGGTGATATGTTCTCATTCACAGAATAGATGGGCTCCAGGAAAATTGACTAGTTGAAGATGTGGCCAGTTTTTCTGTAATTCTTCAATGATGTTGCTAGTGATGCCAACAATTGTGGTTGCAAATTATTCTCCCCCTTTCCCACCCCTCACCAGTGCAGATGCCTGCACTGAATAGCAAAGTAGTAGTCCTGATTCTTTCAATGGAAAAATAGGAAGGGAGCCTGCAGATTTTAAGTGATGTTTCGCGTTGGGGCTCAGACTATCACCACTGATCAGTAGCTGTAGGATCTTTCGTCTTTGCCTCTCTCTTCTGCTGGAAAAGGGAGATCAGGATTGTATAGCTTCCAGGTATTGCTGTCCTGTATTTGCAAGGGAGAGCTCCTTCCAGCTTTCCTTTCTTGCAGGTAAGAGATACATGGAGTATGTTGGACCCAAGCTTTGAACTACACAGCAGAATAACATCTGCACATTTTTCCCTGTCTTGGATGTCTCACTTGCAGGAGTGAGGGGCAAGGAATACATTAGTTTCAGATGCCGCCTGGCAATGGGTTCTTGATTCCTGCCACTGAGTAGGATTCACCTGTCCAGCCTTTTCCTGTGAAATAGAGAAACAGGAATTGTGCAGGTTTAAGGCATTATATTTCAGAGTTCCACAGCCAAAGAGCAGATGCAGGAGCCTCCCTCCACCTCCTGGAAGGAGGATAGCATGTTTCCAATCCCCCCCAGCTTTTCTTCCAAATCTGTAGCTGAGGATAACAGGGAGAGATTGCTAAAAAAGATGATGAAAACATCTCTGCCTGATTCTATCCCACCAAAAGCTGAGAAAAAAGCCACAGTAAATGAGGTAACTATACAGTGGTGCCTCGCAAGACGGGTGCTTCGTTTAACAACAAATCCGCATTACGACGAGGCTTTTGCAATGGGGGAATTTCTCTGCGCGATGATTGGTTCCCTGTTTCGGGAACCGATTTTCGCTTCTCGACGATCAAAACAGCTGATTGTCGGGTTTTCAAAATGGCCGCCAGATGCGCAAAATGGCTCCCCGCTGTGTTTAGGAGCCATTTTCCGCTGCACAGGCACCCGAAAATGGCCACCCCATGGAGGATCTTCGCTGGACAGTGAATTCTTAGCCGATTGGAACACATTAACCAGGTTTTAATGCGTTTCAATGGCTTTTTTATTTTCGCTTTACGACGTTTTTGTTCTACAGTGATTTTGCTGGAACGAATTAACATCGTAATGCGAGGCACCACTGTGTTTGGCTTGACCTGGGCTGAAGGAAAGGCAAAGGAGCATTAAATAACAAAAGCCAAGGTAAAGCTTCAAAGTTCCTGCAGAGAATATAAATGAGCTTTACTATGTGTTACAGTTGACTCCATGCATTTGGGCTTCTTGCATTTGTTTTTCTCTTTTCTAGCAGTTGGTTCATTTTTCCAGATATAAAGCTGATCGAATATGGTTGGAAGAGAAATATGTCAGCCCTCCGTAAATTTGTTTGTTAGCATTTACAAAGCAGGATAAATAAATGGCACCTCCATACGCTGAGGCAATGAGTTTTTGAAGATCAGCTCCTGGACCAAACAGGAGGAGGGAACCCATGGTTGGGAAGATTCTCGAAACCATCTAATGATGTAGGATAATTGGGATCCGTTGTCTGATTCAACACGTTTCTTTTCTTAGAATCAAGCTTAAACTGATAAGAGGTCTTTCTGGAAGGTCTTATATGTTGAAAGGCTGAACTGAGATCTTTCCTGGTATCATTGTGGTTTAAAAGAAAGCGGTGAAGATTGAGAGGAAAGGGGGAGAGGGTAATGCTTGTTAATTACCCTCTGGGAGACATACTTTTAAAAGATAAGCAGAATGTCAGGAAATTGGGTTATTACAAAATTGTCAAGTGAGGAGAATGGACAGTTCTAGACTATGAGGCGTAACTGATACACAGATTAAATATAGGTTCAGACCAGGAGTAATAATAAAGATGTCATTGAATCCTGTGGTTGGGTTCCGTCTTCCGTCTCCTTTCCTCCCTCCTCTTCTCTTTGGCACTCCTTCCACCTGCACAGCCCTTCACTTGTGATGGGATCTGTAGTACAGGAGGAGGAAAGATTTATTCCTCCTTTTCTGCACACCATTTTCTGACTGAAACCAGCCTCTGAATTTGCTGTTTCCCACAGATAGCAGTTGGGAGATACAGTAGTAGGAAAAAAGCAGCCAGGGGTAGATTATTGAAATCCGCACACACACACCCCAAAACAACACATACGTCTGTTTCAGATCAGAGATCACATGATTCTTCATGGTGTTAAGTGTTAGCCTTTTAAAGCAGGATATAATGCCATGTGTGGGATGTTAAGCCCTGCTTAGTTTTGCCTATTGTAAGACACAGATAACAGCATGTTGCTTGTGAACGCAGGCTTTTTGGCCAGCAGTGCCATGGTCTGTTTCTTTCAGGACCAGTGGGAGTAGGAATGAGTGACTTGTAGATGTACAACAAGCCTTGCTGTGGGAGGAAGGAGATTAAACCTTTAAAATGAAATAAAAGTGCAAAGTTGGATTCTCACTATTGTGTGTTGTTCTCTCCAATTTGTAGTCTCTCTCTATATTTTTAATTGAGTCCCATCTGGCAGTCAATGAAATGACTTAAAGATTCAGGGTGTTTAACATCTTTGAAGCACTATGGTAGCAGAGAGAAAAATAATAGAATATGACACACTTTATTCCTTCTGCATTGAGTTGGATGTTTCTTGTGAGGAGCCGTAGTCTTCTAGACCAAGGGAATGCCCTTTGTGTGTTGCTGCTTGACAAAAGGTTTCTGATAACCTTGTTACTCTTCTCTTCCTGGGCCACTGATTTTTCTGCATCTCTACCTGAGTGCTTTCCTGTAGTTATTGACTTCTTGCATGCTTGAAATTCTGCCAGTCCCAGTTATTTTTAATTTCTCTACAA